CCAAACAACCACTCAAAGGGACTCTAACCCTGAAGCTTCTTCTCAAAGGGACTCTAACCCCGAGACTTTTTCTCAAAGGGACTCTAACCCCGAGACTTCTTCTCAAAGGGACTCTAACCCCAGACTTCTTCTCAAAGGGACTCTAACCCCGAGACTTCTTCTCAAAGGGACTCTAACCCCGTCAGGTAGCGAACCTGTTTTTAATCTAATCTGATCTATAGATACATGACATTTGGCAGACCTCAAAACAGACCATAATTTAGTTCACCCAATTAGCAGACTTTGAATAAACAGGTGTCCGCTCTTACCTTTTGTCGAACAGGGCGCCAGGCACCGTCAGAAGTCCACCAAATATCAGCTTTTCCACGTCCAACCAGGTCTCCAGATCATGAACCAGCGCTCACTAGTACCGGAAACTAGTTTCCATCGGCAGAGACCACTCGCACGTCAAAAATCCCCGGAATGTGGACATGGGAAAACAATTTTAAACGCTCAGTCCAAAAAAGAGGACACAAAAAAAATATAGTGAGAGAGCGAAAAAGAGTCCCGGAGCCGGTCGCCTCTCCAGCCTGCTGGACCGCTCCCAGGCCCCAGACACTCTCAGCTCTCCCACGCCGAGAAAAAGAAACAAAGAAAACTCCCTCAAAACAATCCAGAGAATGGCACACACTGAGCCGAGCATTCTCCACCAAATCTGTCAGGATTTAGCAGACAGAGACGGATCGTGGTGCGCCAAACTCTGGAAGTTTATTTAAGTTTCTCTCAAGTTCCAGTGGTTTCCTCTGTTTCTTTCTCTCAGACAGAATAAAGGCAGTACACAGTTTATATAGTCATTGTCACGTCACACATCGAAAGACATACGTGTCACAAAGAGACAGTCAAATCATAGTCATAACATGGAGTCCTTGTACAGTCCTGCACGTAGGCCATATTGCTATCTAATACTAACAACGTTCTCAGCAGACCCTCACTACACACTTGGGTCTTCCAGGTCTGACCGGCTTCTTCCCCTGCCAGCGGATCCAACTCGGCCGAAGGTCAGATAATACAGAAACAAAGTCGATCATCGACCTTCGGCCTATGGTGTCCTGGTGCCACGTGCACTGGTGGACACCCTTGTGCTCGAACATTGTGGACAAACTGACTAGCACAGAAGTCCCACAACTGAACGCCGCTCGGGTTCAGATCAGGGGGGCCGTTCTTTCTGGTCATACCTCTCCAAGTGACACTGGCATTTACCACATAGACGTTGAAGTCCCCCAGGAGAATAACAGAGTCCCCGGTCGGTGCACTATCCCAGGGACTCCAAGAAGGCCGGGTACTCTGCACTGCTGTTAGGCCCGTAGGCCATCACAACAGTGAGAAACTTGTCCCCTACCTGGAGGCGGAGGGACACGACACTCTCATTCACTGCGGAGAACTCCAACACGTGGCAGCTGAGATGGGGGAAATGAGTATGGCCACCCCAGCTCGCCGCCTCTCCCCGCAAGAAACATCAGAGCCCAAGCTGTGTGTGGAGGTGAGGCCGACTATCTCTAGTCGGTATCGCTCAAGCTCCCCCACGAGCTCGGGCTCCTTCCCCCCGAGTGAGGTGACGTTCCACGTCCCAAGAGCCAGATGTTGTGCCCAGTCCTGAACCATGCCACCACAGACCCCTCTGTGGGTGGTGGGTCCACAGGAGGGCCTGCCCACGTCGTCCTTTCGGGCTGAGCCCACCCGGGCCACGTGGGCTAAGGCCCGACCACCAGGCGCTCGCTTTCAAGCCCCGACCCCAGGCTTGGCTCCAGGGTGGGGCCCCGGCTGCACCATGCCGGGCGACGTCACGGTTCTCGTATTCGTTCTGTCCATGGTTGGCTTCGGAATGCGCTTCGTCTGACTCGTCACCCGAGACCTGTCTGCCATGCGAGACCCTACGAGGGGCATGAAGCCCCAGACAACAAAGCTCCCAGGATCATCCGAGTACTCAAACTCCCCCACCACGTTAAGGTGGCAGTCCTGGTTGGAGCCTCAAGACTCCAATCAATTTTGATGATCGAATACCATTTTTTAAAGTCATACATTAATTTAATTCTATTTCCATTGAAAAGGAGACAAAAGGAAAAGCCCAGCACAGACACTGAATGACACATACTGTATTTTATGTAGAGCCATTTGATAAAACATATTTATTCCGAAGCAGTCGTACATCTGCCCAGGCGTTGGAGGCTATAATCGCAACTTTCTTCTATTAAAGAAGCTGTATGTAAAAAAAACTGGCCAAAAGTGGTACTGCAATCCGAGTCTCCCTGACTATATATACATATATATATATATATATATATATATATATATATATATACATATATTTATGGGTCCTGAGTCCATCGCGACAGGAAATGTGTGGAATTGTGAAACCTGAAGATCAACCTACAGCTCACTGTAATCAATGTAATGTCTGCTTATGGCTCTTAATTATGATATTATGATTGTACAAACCTGTGCGCCTTAGAGTGCTTTTTATTTTTATTTTAGGCACTCTGCCCTGGTGTTACTGGTCTTTTTCTTTCTTTTCTTTAATTGTTTTATTTATGTTAGGAGCATGTAGCCGCCTCGACTTGCCACATAGTATATAAAATCTCACAATACATGGCCCCATTAATTCTTTCTTTTACACGGATCAGTCGTCCTGGTCCCTTTGCATTTTCTAACGGAACTCCTGCTGGTGCCCAGATTCAGTACTAAACATGAGGAGGCTGCATTTCAGATTCATGCAGCAAAGATCTAGAACAATCTTCCTGAAGATGTGAGACAGGCCTCTTCTCACAGAGGAGCTTCTTAAAAAGGAGGAGCTTCTTAAAAACGGACTTACAGTTCTGTGAGAGCCACAAATCTTGCTTGTAGATGACCAAATACCAATATTCCACCATAATATGAAAGCAAATTCTTTATCAATCAGAAAATGTGATTTTCGGGATTTATTTCTCACCTGTCTCCCACAGTGGATGTACTCCTATGATGAAATTACAGGTCTCCCTCATCTTTTAAAGTGGGAGAACTTTCATAATTGGAGGCTGACTAAATACTTTTTTGCCCCACTGTATATTAGATATCTTCATATACAGATATTAAATGAAGGTATCTGCTCTTATGAAGGATTTATCGCTGCTTGTATTGTATAAGTTGTGTGCTCCTTGTGTCTCTCACTAGTGTCCTGTACATGTGCGCTGCAACATCAACATTTCCCCACTGTGTAACGAATATAGCTTCTCTTCACTTGTCGTATCTTCTTGTACTAGCAATAATGCTATACATACTAGTGCTACTCAAGTAATGCTGCTATTAAAAAAAAAAAGTGCTGGTGCAGTATGAGTTTAGGGGAAGTGTGGGTTTGTCGCTGGAAGGTTTCATTGCTCGAAGATGGGGGAGTTGTTTCTCTACAGTTGGCACCACTTCCTTTTTTATATTTGAGGTTTTTGAGTGTTTCCTCTTTCAGATGCAGATTTGGAAGTCTTTACAGAGTAATTCATGTTGTATTCCTCTGTGGAACTAAACTCCAGCTGCTGCAGACTCAGGGTGAGTACATTTCACATGTTTGATCTGTGGAAAGGTTCACGACTGCGGCGTTTTTATAATAAAGAAGTTGCATTAGTTCAGTCCTTTAAACATGAGATCGAGACAATTCTCATGTTTGAAGAGCATGTCTTTTTGTGTTTTAATATTTGAGCATGTGTAATAATATCTTCCGTAGAATCAACGGCTGTAGTCTGAGCTCCCTGTAACTCCCTAGGCCGCCACTAGAGGCAAATGTAAAGAACAGGATTTTACTCGAGAAATTACCAAAAACTGTTCTGAGTGTGTACACAATGGGTGCTCGAGAGTAATTGTAGCAACAGGCTTAAAGCACTGCGCTGCCGAACGGAACGTTTCAAGAGATCTTTTGTTCCTTCGGCTGTCAGACTGTACAACAAACCTGTATGAGTCTTCTGCTGCTGGACACCTGAATTTCTCCAATGGGGAGCAATAAAGTATCTATCTTTACATTTGTTTAACCCTTGACCGCTCCTTTGTATAATCACAAAAAACATTGGATTGATAGTTTTACAAACTTTTATACTAATACTTTTTGAAGCCTTATTATGATTCATCCTTTCAACATTTACTTTTTGAAAATAAATATGATGCACGTTTTTAATCGTTATTTGTCTGGATTCTCCAGACAAGTCCAGGGCCACAGTCCAGGGCTTGTGATAATTCACAGCAGCAGTAGAACGCTCCATTGATTTGAGTGCAATTTCAAAACGTTCTACCGGTCATTATTTCTTATAACGGACCTCTCAAAACAATAATGGCCGCTGCCCATGGCAACGCATGTAATTCATGTGTGTAGATTGCTCTGAAAGTAGTTCCGACCACTCCGGAGCAAGCCACGCTCAATAAACGCAAATACCTATCAATCAATGCAAGTACATGTTAATCGGAGAATGCACTAGACATATACATTCTTAATACACATGCACAATAATACAGGATTTCAGAATTTTCTGTTGAGGTTAAGGACAAAAATACTATTTTAATGCAAGAAAAAGCGATGGCGAAAAACCCGGAAGTAGATTCCGGGACATTCACCGCTGATGTTCAGAATTCTTTGTTCAGTTTTCATGCAGTTCTTGAGAGTTCTAGTTTGGGAGTTGCCAGCCTAATTGTCACTAGCCTAACTGTTACTAGCTTTAACTGTTACTCGCATAGCCACGGGAACGCCTTTGGGAACTATTTTATTATCTGTCATTAAATAAACCTTTTGGCATTCCTAAGAGTGGACTCAAGTTTATTTTGTGTGTTCTGTTGGTACAAAGCCGTATAATAAGCGGGATAATGTATAGTACACAGGTCATTATCGGAAAATGTCGGTACTTATTGTCCGATAATGACCTGTGTACTATACATTATCCCTTACTTAATGTGTTTATAGCTAAACTCGTCATGACTTCTCCAAACCAGTGAATTTCTGGTAAAGATCCATCATGTCTGGAGACAACAGCACGCTAACATGGAGGAGCATGTCCCCCACCTCCAGCCAATCAGCGAGCTCCATTTGGTCCCCCAGCCAATCAAGGAGCTCCATCCGGTCCCCTAGCCAATCAGAACTCAGCGTCTCCACAGCCAAGATCATCAAAGTGTGTTTCCTTAGCAACAGTCCAAACCTTGGCAAGAACTTCAAACTGGTGAAATGTGAAGAAGGCTGGACCGTCAAGGTACAAAACTACTAATCCTAATGCTACTGCTACTGGGAACGCTCTCAAGAACTGTTGCCGCAGTAACACTTTCTGTCTACAGTCAGTGGTGGGCGTGGTCTTGGCGAGCGGCTGCGTGGGGCCTCAGATCCAAAATTGTGACGTCTTCGGTTTGTTGCTCAAACACCTGAAGTCATCTGCAAAGCACTGGCTCCACCGCGACATGAGCATCACCGAGCTCACACAGAGATATGAGCGCCACCACCTGGAGGCCGAGTGGAGGTACAAGACAGACCAGAGGCCAGAGAGAAAGAGAGAGAGACCAAAAACGAAAGAGAGCAGTGAGAGAGAATAGAGAGCAAGCAAAGAGGGAGACCAGAGAGAGAGAGAGTAGAGAGAGAACAGAGAGAGCGACCAGAGAGAGACCAAAGAGAGACCAGAGAGAGACCAGTGAGGGACCTGAGAGACAGACCTGGTATGGACCTGAGAGAGAGACTGTGTTATCTATCTTACCACAATTACCATAATTTCCATAGTTACCAGGAGAAATGTTTCAGCTGCTCCACCACAATGTGAAACTGTCGCTCTTCGGAACATCCTGATGTCACATGAACATCAACCCTAACCAAATAATTGTGCCTGAACATTGAGAGATAGATTCAATGTATTTGTTTATCACAGTCCTTCTCTTTCTGCAGGTACGACTTGAGGATAAGATACATCCCCAAAGACTTTCTGGAGAAGTTCAAAGAGGACAGGACCACCATGCTCTACCTGTACCAGCAGGTGATGTCACATGATGAGGTCTCAGGGTGAGGTCTGAGTGTGAGGGTGAGGTAAGAGGGTGAGGTCAGGGGGTGAGGTAAGAGTTGGTTGTAAGAGGGTAGGGTCAGACGGTGAGGTCAGAGGGTGAGTTAAGAGGGTGAGGTCTGAGGGTGAACTCTGAGGGTGAGGGGTGAGGGTGAGGGTGAGGTAAGAGTGAGATGTAAGAGGGTGAGGTCTGTGAGTGATGTCACATGATCAGGTCTTTCCGCAGGTACGCAGCGACTACATGTTAAACTATGCATCGAGAGTGAGTGATGGGATGGCCCTGCAGCTGGGCTGTCTGGAGATCAGGTACGAGACCTGCTTTAGACCTGCTTTAGACCTGCTGTTGTCCTGCCCGAGACTTGCACTAGTCCTGCTTTAGTCCTGCTTTAGTCCTGCTCTAGTCCTGCTTTAGACCTGCTTTAGTTTTGCGTTAGACCTGCTGGAGTCCTGCTTTAGACCTTCTTTAGCCCTGGTTAGTCCTGCTCTAGACCTGCTTTAGACCTGCTTTAGCCCTGCTTTAGACCTGCTTCAGTCTTGCTTTAGATCTACAATTATCAGACCAGCGGGTTTTGCATTAGGACATTCTTTCTCTCTTTACTGTGACTCTATTTTTATTGAGTTATGTATTTGATGTTTCAGGAGGTTTTACAAAGACATGAATCCCAACGGTTTGGAGAAAAAGTCCAACTTTGAGCTTTTAGAGTAAGTCTGTTTGCGGCAGCAGTCCTGGTCCTGGTCTGGTCCTGGTTCACATGAAGCTATGGTTTAATGAACTACTTTACTTGTTACTCTGACTGATCCTGTTCCTGTGTCTCAGGAAAGATGTGGGTCTGGACCTGTTCTTCCCCTCAGAACTCCTCAGCAGCATGAAGGTACAGAGCTTTACATGTAAACTATTATATACTATAAATAAACTATAGATATACTGTAGATAAACTATAGATAAACTGTAGATATACTTTAGATATACTATAGATAAACTGTAGATATACTGTAGATAAACTGTAGACATACTATGGCTATTGTACATCTCAGATGTGGTGTTTCCTCTGTCTGCACAGTCCAAGCAGCTGCGCAAACTCATCCTGCAGACCTTCCAGAGTTACTCCACTCTGGACCAGGACCAGTGCATCAGGAAGTTCTTCTCCACACTGTCCCAGTGCTACGACTTCACCCAGGAGCGATTCGCCTGCCAACTGGTGGTCAGAAACATTCTACTAACACTATACTGCACCTGGATAATCCTGTACATGTGTTAAACTCTGTAACAGACATGTATATTACTGTACATGTGTTAAACTCAGTAACAGACATGTAGATTACTGTACATGTGGTAAACTCTGTAGATTACTGTACATGTGGTAAACTCTGTAACAGACATGTAGATTACTGTACATGTGGTAAACTCTGTAACAGACATGTATATTACTGTACATGTGGTAAACTCTGTAACAGACATGTATATTACTGTACATGTGGTAAACTCTGTAACAGACATGTATGTTACTGTACATGTGGTAAACACTGTAACAGACATGTAGATTACTGTACATGTGGTAAACTCTGTAACAGACATGTATGTTACTGTACATGTGGTAAACACTGTAACAGACATGTAGATTACTGTACATGTGGTAAACTCTGTAACAGACATGTATGTTACTGTACATGTGGTAAACTCTGTAACAGACATGTATATTACTGTACATGTGGTAAACTCTGTAACAGACATGTATGTTACTGTACATGTGGTAAACACTGTAACAGACATGTAGATTACTGTACATGTGGTAAACTCTGTAACAGACATGTATGTTACTGTACATGTGGTAAACTCTGTAACAGACATGTATGTTACTGTACATGTGGTAAACACTGTAACAGACATGTATGTTACTGTACATGTGGTAAACTCTGTAACAGTGTCTCCTCAGAGTGAAAAACGCTGCATAGTTATAACTTAAGGATGTTTTGGTTTGTAGCACGGCTGGAACCTGAGCATCGACCTGGTGATCGGCTCGGAGGGCATCAGTCAGCAGACCGACAACTCCAAGGTCACTTTTCTTTTCTCTCACACACAGTCATCAACGTGTTCTACTACAACAAAGTAACAGCCGACAGTGAAGTGAAAGCTAAATGAGACATGAGCTACGAACTCCCCCCACAGAGCCATTTACAGGACGGAGTCCCTCTTCAATGTTAGGTACTCCGTTGGGGCCTGCTGGGACTTACGGTGGCACGGTGGCTGAGTGGATAGCACTCTCGCCTCTCAGCAAGAAGGTCCTGGGTTCGAATCCCGGTTGGACCAGGGCCTTTCTGAGTGGAGTTTGCATGTTCTCCCCGTGTCTGCGTAGGTTTCCTCCGGGTGCTCCGGTTTCCCCTACCACTAAAAATATGTACAATAGGTCTGACATGTGCCTCCTGTACTGGCGCCCCCACTCCCAAAAATAGCAATTGTAAACCGCTTTGAGACTCCGATGTGCAGTGAAAAGGCGGTATATAAATAAAGCTTACTACTACTACTACTACGGTTAACCCGGCCCTGATTGGCTAAGGCTAGCACAGGCTCTGGCGCCAGCAGAAAGCACCAAAACAACCGGCATTCAGCAGTATTAAGCCGCGTTCATACCGGATCATGTGTTGCGTCGGCTTTCAATGCAAAGTCAATGGTGACGCACATTCGAGCGTCAAAACGCACGTTCGAGCGTCAAAACGCACGAGCGTCTCGGAATGCACGCATGGACTGCGCGGGGAAGTCGAAGGGGAGGAACGCAGGAGATTAATTTTGCTCAACTTTTCCTCAGGACGTTCGTGCAGCAACCAATCAGAGAGCCGCAAAGTGGTCACGAGGACATTAGCGGTCTGGAACAGGAGCTACATCAGGACTAAACCAGGATTGACAATGGGGGACATAGTGCTTGTTAACATGTGAGTTTTCATGCTCCCGTGACTATTTACAACTGCTTCGAGTGTGTTCGCCGATGCGGAAGTACCGTTTAATAATAAAATAAACGTATTGCGCACCTCTGTGAACACATACTCCTGTTATGTAAAGTCTGTGGAAGGTCTCTGAACACAGACACGCTGCAAAGCTGAAAACTAGAGAATGTATGTTTCAGCGTTGGCGGTCTGAAAGCAGCATTAGCCTAGCAGCATTAGCCTAGCAGACACTACTGGAAACAGCGAACAACAGCATGGCATTTATTCAGACGGGGTTTGCGGTAAGCGGCAAAATTAAAAGATATAGTAAGACATACAGTATCAGCTTCACCTCGAAGCACCAGGGATTTGTCACACTCCTAAACAAGCAGTGAAAAGTTTTAAAAACTGAAGCAGGACTATAGAAAAACTCAAAGACCATAACAACCGGAGCGGTTACGACCGTAAAATAAACAAATGGGTTTGGCAAAATGAGTTTCGCTTATGCGACAATCGAAACTCATGACGTCGTCGAGTGGTCCTACTCTGCAGTGGAGACATGGACAGAGGACCAAGGGAGAGGAAGGTTCCTGTAAAAGTTCCACCTCGCTCCTTTTACCAGGAACTCCTGCGGTGGAAACGTGGCTGTTGATGTGGATGGTTCCTCTTCTTCAGGAAAATAAACATAAAGCGTGACTCTTTATGTGGCTCAGAGTCCAGACCCCACTGCGGTCTGACAGAGAGCTGTTTTGTAAAGAGGAATGAGCATAAACTGTCAGTCTCTAGATGTAGAATCAGACCCCAAAAGACCAATAAGAGGTTCCACAAACTAGTGCGTCATGAATGAACATTTCAGATTTTATAACACTTCACAGTCGTTCGTCTCTCTTTGGTCTCTCTCTCTGGTCTTTCTAGTCTCTCTCTCTGGCTTCTCTGTTCCTTTGTTGTGGTTCTATGGCCGTTCAGGAAATGTGTCAAAGTCCTGGTGATGACAGTCTTCTACAGTAATAGCTGCAGGTTTTCACATTGTGCTTTTGTTTCCCAGCAGCCCATGTGTTTGACCGCGTTCACTGAGATCCGCAGTATTTCCTGTTTCTGTGAGAGTGAAGGCCGCGCTCTTCTCACCGTTCACACCGAGGCCGAGCAGGTGAAATGTCTTCAGTCTCATTATCACACACAACAGAAGGAGCAGCAGTAGTATTCACATCAGCAGCAGCAGCAGCAGCAGTAGTAGCTGCAGTATCAGCAATATTAGCAGTAGTAGCACCACTAGTAGCAGCAGTAGTGGTAGTAGTAGTAGTAATAACAGCAGCAGCAGCAGTAGTAGTAGTAGTAGCAGCAGTATGAGTTGTTTCTCTGTTCCAGCCTCTCTCAGTCAGGACGTCCTCTCTCTCTGAAGCAGAGAACATGGCTGATCTCATTGATGGACACTGCCACCTGCTGGGAGCTGACAGATCTCTCATCAAGCGGCCCAGAAGTACTCTAGTATATATAGAAGTATTGATAAAGTACTCAAGTACACACTCAGAACAAACCTGTTTCTCCTTGTAGCTCGCGACATGAAGATAAAGTTGCCAGACATCCCAAAACCGTGAGTATTGTGTGTGGCTCAGTAAGTGTATTTGAGGCACGTCTCACTGCTTCTGTTTCTGCTGTTACTGCTGTTACTGCCGTTTGTGGCCCACAGCGAGGCCTCGTCACTGCGCAGGAGCAGTAAGTCTGATTTTTATTTTCATCTGAAGAGGCTTTTTAATTTCTCTAATCTTTAAAAACATGAATTCCAGACTCCGACATTTACACAGAGATCCCAGACTCCAGTGGAGACTCCGATAAACCAGGTACAGGTACTGTCATTCTGGTCTCTCGCCCTAATCTCTCTCTGGTCTCTCTATGGCTTCTCTCTCTGGACTCTCTCTCTGGTCTTTCTTTCTGGTTTCTCTCTGGTCTCTCTATGGTCTCTCTCTCTCTGGTCTCTCTTTCTGGTTTCTCTCTGGTCTCTCTCTGGTCTCTCCCTGGTCTCTCTCTGGTCTTGCTCTGGTCTCCCTCTGGTCTCTTTGTAACCATGTCTTCCTCATGAACAGAGAGAAACAGCAGCATCTGCAGAGAGCAGATAGTTCTGGGTCGGATCCTGGGAGAGGGATTCTTTGGAGAAGTCCATGATGGAGTTTATAAAAGCCCAGTGAGTCCAACACATCCCACACATGTCCCCGTCCCTTCTCTCTGAAAACTCTATGGACATTTATCAACATTCATGGACATTGGTCTCTCCCTATGGACCAATACCATGTGTATGCTATATTTTCTTTGTGTCTTAACTGTTGATTCTCTGATCTGTGTTGGTGATTTAAGTGGTTTTGTTATTTCCTCTGAGATTTACTGCTGTTGTGATTTAGGGCTATACAAGAATTTGATTGAATTTTAAACTTACTAGAGCGGAGACAGAATCCGTGTGGCTGTGAAAACCTGCAAAGACTGTTCCCCTGACGTCAAAGACAAGTTTTTGAGTGAAGCCGGTGAGTTTTAACTTTGTAAAACTTCAAATAAAAGACTCTGAAGTTTTAGTGTTTAAACGTCTCTATCTGGAGATATCATCATGAGCCTCATTCCCACTGGGCAAAAATCCCAGGTCTCCTTGCCCTTACACCAAACTGTCCTCTCTCTGGTCTCTCTCTCTCTGGTCTCTCTCTCTCTGCTCTCTCTCTGGTCGACACGGGTTTAAACAACCTGTATTTTGTGTGTTCAGGTTTGATGAGCAGCTTGTCTCACCCTCACATTGTTCGCCTCGTTGGAGTCTCGTACCTCGACCCAGTCTGGATTGTGATGGAGCTGGTGGAGCACGGAGAGGTCCTCCTCCTCTCTCCTACCCCCCCCCCCCCCCCCCCCCCTCGTTTCCCTTCCTTTCTTCCCCTCCTCCTCCTTTCTCCTCTCTTCTCCTCCTCTGTCCCCCTCTATCCTCCTTCTCATCTCTCCCCCTCCTCTCTTGTCTTTTGTCCTCTCCTCCTCCTCTTTCTTCCTTTCTCCTCCTCATTCTCCCCCTCCTGCTCCTCCTCCTCATGTGTCCTCTTGTGTGTGCAGTTGGGTCAGTACCTGGTGAATAAGCAGGAGCTTCTCTCTCAGGCCACACTCACACTGTTCAGTTTGCAGATCTGCAAAGCTCTGGAGTATTTAGAGAGTCTCAGCCTGGTGCACAGGTGAGAGGCTGACCAACGACTGACCTCTAGTCTTTCGCTCTGGTCTCTCTGTGGTCTTTCTGTGGTCTCTCTCTCTGATCTCTCTCACTTTGCATATTCTCTCCGTGCTTTCAGGGATGTCGCGGTGCGTAACGTCCTGGTGGCGTCTCCTGATTGTGTCAAACTAGGAGACTTTGGTTTGTCGCGTTACGTGGAGGAGGAGGAGTACTACAAAGGTGATGCTTTAAGATGTTATTTCCCTCTGCCCAGTGTTACAGAGGTGGGACTGAAGCAGGTCTGAAGCAGGACAAAAGCAAGTCTATATATACAGTGGGGCAAAAAACTCAAGATTAAATAGCTGTCAAAGGACACCAGAAACTCTCCACTGTCGGACGAATAAAGGATTATCTTATCTTAAACAAAATTGTAGTCCTGCACCAGGCTGGAAAGACTGAATCTGCAATAGGTAAGCAGTCTGGTGTGAGGAAACCAACGGTGGGAGCAATTAGTAGAAAATGGAAGACATACAGTACAAGACCACTGATAATCTCCCTCGATCTGTTAAATGGTCAGATGAAACCAAATTAGTCGTGTCGTGTTTGATGGAGAAAAATGCTTCCAAAGAACACCATACCTATTGGGAAGCACGGGGTGGAAACATCATACTTTGGGGCTGTTTTTCTGCAATGGCAAGGCACAGAAAAAAAAGGCAAACAATAAAATAGGAAAAAAAAAAAGAGATGGAATATAAACATATATACATAAAGTATATACACTAATACATAAATAGATACACACACATAAAAATGCATCTGTAGTAATAATGAATATACGTATATGTACAGTACATACACACACATATGTACGACTAATCCGTGTAAATAAATAATTAATGGAGCTGCTTTTATCAGCAAGGGCATTGAAGATGAAACGTGGCTGGGTTTTTCAGCATGACAATTTTCCCAAACACACCGCTTGAGCAACGAAGAAGTGGCCGGTCTTTTTCAGGTCCTGGAGTGGGCTTGCCAGTCTCCAGATCTCAACCCCATAAAAAAAATCTTTGGAGGGAGCTGAAAGTCTGTGTTGCCCAGCTACAGCCCCAAAACATCACTGCTCTAGAAGAAATCTGCTTGGAGGAATGGGCCATAATAGCAGCATCAGTGTGTGAAAACCTTGTGAAGAAAGGAAAATGGAAAGCAGAAAACATTTGAGCTCTGTCATTGCCAACAAAGGGTATATAGTGGGGCAGAAAAGTATTTAGCCAATTGTACAAGTTCTCCCACTAAAAAAGAGGGAGGCCTGTAATTTTCATCACAGGTAAACCTAAACTATGAGAGACAGAATGAGAAAACAAATCTAGAAAATCACATTGTCTGATTTTAAAAAAAAATATTTGCAAAATATGGTGGAAAATAAGTATTTGGTCAATAACCACATTTTCTCAGTACTTTATAGACCCTTTGTTGGCAATGACAGAGCTCAAACATTTTCTGTAAGTCTTCACAAGGTTTTCGGTCTAAGCTCTCCGCAGGTCATTCACTAGGTTCCAATGTGCTTCTTGTGATCATTTTGACCCACAGGGTGAGATCTTGCATGGAGCCAGATCGATGGAGATTAACAGTGGTCTTGTACTGTATGTCTTCCATTTTCTAATAATTACTCCCACAGTTGATTTCTTCTCACCAAGCTGCTTACCTATAGCAGATTCAGTCTTCCCAGCCTGGTGCAGGTCTACAATTTTGTTTCTGGTGTCCTTTGACAGCTCTTTGGTTTTTGGTCTTGGAGTTTGGAGTGTAGCTGTTTGAGGTTGTGGACAGGTGTCTTTCATACTGATAACCAGTTCAAACAGGTGCCATTAATACAGATACAGATAACAAGTGGAGAACAAATCTTGCTTGTTTGTATTTGATCAAATACTTATTTTCCACTATCATTTGAAAACAAATAATTAAAAATCAGACAATGTGATTTTTTCCTCATCTTTTTAAGTGGGAGAACTTGTACAATTGGTGGCTGACTAATTTATTTTTTGCCCCATTGTATACAGGAGGATTTTCTACTTCTGGGTGGACCATCAATATTATTGGTCCTCCCTATTGTCAATCATTCTGGTGATACGTGCTCGTCGAATAAGACTGGAGAGTTTTGCTCGAAATGTAGAGAGGGCAGTTCTTTCCTAAAATTTGGGAACATCATCCTCTAAAGCAAGACAAAAGTAGGACTGAAGCAGATCTAAAGCAAAAGTAGAACTTAAACAGGTCTAAATGTTTTTGCAGCCTCCATGAGCCGGATGCCCATAAAGTGGATGGCCCCGGAGTCCATCAACTTTCGACGCTTCACTTCGTCCAGTGACGTGTGGATGTTTGGTAATGCTCTCATGTTTCCTGTTTGTTCTACACACATGTCCCCTTTAACTTCAACAACAAGGCTCTATAAATGTACACAGAACACCCTTGCCCCAAATTTTGCTATGAGAGAATATAGCTGTATAGTATTTGAAAGCATATACTGTATCTTTCTCCATCTCCTTTGTTCTGTCACATTCAGTACAATGTGAAAACTAGTGATGGAAGAATTCTATTGTGGTGAGAAAGTTACGTACCCCAGCTTTAAAGAGCCCCTGTGTGTCCCCAGCTGTGTGTGTGTGGGAGATCTTCAGTGCAGCGCAACAGCCGTTCTTCTGGTTAGAGAACGGACAAGTCATAAACGCTCTGGAGTCCGGAGTCCGTCTGCCCAGACCTAAGACCTGCTCCACACATCTGTTCTCTCTGCTGCTCCACTGCTGGGCCTACGAGCCTCACAGACGACCCAGCTTCAGCCATCTTGTCCGGGCTCTGAGGTAAGACCAGAGACCAGACCAGAGACCAGACCAGAAACCAGACCAGAAACCATACTAGAGACCAGACCCGAGACCAGACTAGAGACCAGACCAGAGACAAGAGACCAGTGTCTGTGTGTGTGTCTGTCTTTGTGTATGTGTGTGTTTGTCTTTGTGGATGTGTGTTTTTGTGTGGTTGTGTGTGTGCGTGTCAAGCCCCAGTGATCCAAGATGGCGCCCTATTCAAATGAATGGCTTGTGCTCAGTAGCGCATGGGACTTCACGGGGATCGAAAGATTAGCGGAACTCGCCCATAATTGGGCATTGTCTGGTCTTCCCATTTCTGCGCAATGGACGAGCTCCCATGATGCATTGTTCCAAATACGTGTGGGTGGCTCTCATGCATGTGCACAGAGGGGCTCAGCCGCGCTTTGACCAATCAGAACTGCTGATCAGAGCAGTGGTAGAGCGGAGTCAGAGCGGGAAGGAAACGAGCAGAGTTTGTGGCACTAAAGTGTGGATATAAAGAAAACCGAAGGATTTAAGAAGAAAAAAGTTCAGCATGACAAGGGACACTAAAATCCCCACAAAATCTGATCTTTATGAAAGCTGTAGGTTCTCTGTCAGCTGAGGTTTTTGGGTAGCCCACGTGAATTTAGTCTGCAGTACCAGATGGGCGCCCCTTTAGCCCATAGGTGAGACAGCTGTAAGATAGTAATACATTCAGTTATTATCATGGATCCATGGTGTGTGTCCACAGTGAGCTGCAGTACCTTCAGCAGCCGCAGGAGGGCGCTGTCCCCAGAGGACGTTCTGCGTCTGTGTCTGAGCCTCCTCCAAAGGTAATGAACACATGAACAACATGTATCTGTCAATCACAGGTTTGTGTTTCCTTTCATTTACAGCCGTCCAGGGTCCAGGGCACACACACTCTGCCTCAGGTGAGACACACACACACTCTGTCTCTGCCTCACGTGACAGACGCACACACACACACACTTTTTTAACCTGGTGGGTCCCTAAGACAGGGCCGTTCCATATGGGACCCACAGACATGGTTTTAACTCCTATAATCTTGCTGTATTTTTGCCAATATTCGGGTCACTTTAGCCGAGGAAGTTGGCTAGTATGTCCTTTTCATTCTCTTTCAATATTAAGAACTGTAGACATAGTAGCTATGTTCTTTCTAAGTCTGGTTGAGGATAACATCTCTGGATGCACCGCACCACATTCTTTGGCTACCTGCCGTAGGGAGTCTGATCCCCTGATGTGGGTGTCTGCGCCCGACCGGGAGAAGAAGTATGGGTTATGGTCAGAGATGGAACAGGCCCTTCTGTTCTCCACCAGCACCTCCATCGAAGCAATCATTTCAGGAGTCAACAGAACCGGCACTTTCCGACTTCTTTTCCCTTTAATTTCAATTTGTTAAAAATGCTGACACAGCTTTTTCTCAATTTCGGACAGTCCCAAAGAAATGTCAGAATGGATCCCAGTCTTACTTCTTAAAGAAAACGCTGTCAGTGGCATATTTGAAACCTCACCTTCCCTTCTTCTATTGAAAATAATGACCTTGCAAAGCGTCAAAACTGCCAGTTTAGACCAATGCTTAGAGGTTGGCTCACTTTTTAGGCTTTGCACATATTCAGGTCGACATACCTCAATATGTGCATGCATGGCTCTAACGTCCTCAGTCAGAGGGAGCAGGTCCGGAGTATTCCACTTCGCTTGCCGGAGGGTCTGTAGGGCAGCAGAAGAAACACAGACGTCCCACCTCTTCTCAAAAAGCAGCCGGCTTCATTGGAGGTTTTTAATAAATAGTTCATCAACACATTGCTCCATTTTTGAGTCACATTCAAGAATATCTGCTAGCTTTCTGAGGCTATGGCCGAGTTTGAGGGCCAAGGATGGAGTCTTGTATAGATTCGTTTCCTCATCATATCCAGCCACAGACCTGACTGCATCAATCACATGGTTTCCCTGCCTTTTTTGCTTCGTTAATTAACCTACCGACTTCTCATTTTCTGCCTAATGTAATCATGCTTAGTCTTATCATGCCCATGTTTTAAGTACAGGTGCTCTCCGAGTCTCAGAATCCCTTTTTCTGCTTTGACAACACCCGTGACCTCATCCTGATGCATTGCCGAAATTAAAGACCACAGCTTTTTGCTGATGCCCTCCGGTACAGGCTGGGCTAGGGGGCAGAGGGACTGGACCCTACTTCTACCTGGTTTAGCCTGGGCATCTTTCTGTGAAAGCCGGCACCTGGCCACATGCCTCCACAGCCACTTTCGCTTAAGCAATGCCCCACAGTCTATACAGTGCAAAAACTCACTGGATTTAACTGGGGAATTTGGCTGTTTAGCTGGGACTAAAGTTCCAATGCCGGCCTTTAAAACCTCAAAATTATGCTCACGGTTTCCACTATTCCTGATCAAATCAAACTGAAGTTTACGTGCTTTAGATTTCACAGGTAGAGCCAATGCTCTGGCTACGTCACTTTCATATCCATGTTTTCTAGTCAAATGACGGGACATTTTGTTGCAGGATATTGAACAGTAGAGGCAGAAGTGTCTCTTGCTGTAAACTCGCCCCCCATTTTTCTTCTTTTGCAGCTGCATGATAACAATCTTTTTTGCCTTTGGTTCGTCACTTTCCGAGTCTTGAAGAAAAGTGTTTTTGATTTTTCTTTTTCCATACTTTTTCACAGGTTTCTTCTTGACAGTTAAATCTTCAGAATCTGAGTTGACTTCATCACTTCTGTTAAGGGACTCTTTCCTAAGCCGCAAAAACAACAAAAAATGTTTATAATCCTATATAACAATTTGTAATCATAACTTGTAGTCAGCACTTACCGGGGGTTTGTAAGTGTGCGCTTCAATGTGCTCCTCTATGATTTCTTGCAGCCTAATGAACCACACACCTGCACCTTTTCTAGCCTGACACCTGACTTCCTCTGTTGTGCTGCTCCATGATTGGCTCCAGCCTGCCGGACTGAAATTGCCCCTGTGTGCCCCTCCTTGATATCCCGCAACCCACCACCAGGGTTGAGACACATAACACACAAGTAACAAGTAAACCTCCAGGGGTCCTTTCCATGTTTTTGCAGAGACTGCATAAGGACCGTTGGAAAAGCATTACCCATTGATTTTTAAGCTTGGACCAGTGGGGTCCGGTGTTCGGGCCCCACAATGTAAAACCAGTCCCCATAACGTGAGTGGAATCTCAGGTTATGGACCCCACTGGGAGTTGAAAACAAGTGCACATGTCACACAAAAGCAATTTATTATAAAACACATTAAAAACAAGTAAATAAAAGCAATAAAAACCTAAGCAAAAAAAAAGGGCTAAAAAGCTAAAACAGAGGCTAAAACAGGCTAAAATGCGTCCCCACGGTCTGGGCCGCCAGACCACGGGGCTCTCACCCGCCGCACCTGGCTCCCGTGTCTGGCTCCCTCTCTCTGTCCACTCCCCCTCTCCATCTCAGTCTTTTATTCTCAAGGCGCAGGTGTCTTGATTGCTCACGTGGGGAGCCGGGGTGCTTCAGGTGGTGCCAGTTAAAAATCAATATTAAAAACACACAAACACCAACATGCATAAAATATGAATAAAACCATATTAAAACCCACCACCCATTTTGCACCCCCTGACACACACACCCCTACACACACACACACACACTCTCTCTCTCTCTCTACCTCAGGTGAGACACACACACAAACACAAGCATGCACACACCAAATACATTTTTTTCCCCCCAGGCTTCAAGATCAGTGGGAAACAGCCTCCCCCGAGGAATGCACCTGCCCCAGGTACTAATACTACTGTGCTTTACCAGCTCTCAGCCCCAAGAGTCAAAGAGTGACTCACAAGGCTCTTTCTCGCACCAAATAAAATATGTTTTCAGATGAATATAGCATGTTGTGGTCTGTATTGTTCACATTTTACTTTCAAAGACTCTTTCTATTGGACAAACCACATGTGTTTTCTGACCCCAGGCTGAGGGTCCTCAGCTTTAAAGGCCCCATATTTCTCTCTTCTTAATGTTTCACGGTCTATCCTATGCACATGTGTGATAATGATGTGAGTGATACACCATAAAACACTCAAACCTGTGAGATTATTTCCATTTCTTGCCTAGAGGTCACCTCAATTGAAACCTTTGGATCTGTGCTCCTACCCCTGTGAGCCCTGCTCAGTTTCAAAATGGCCGCGGGGCAGACATTTTTTGAAATAATACAATTGTGCATGCGTTAACCGACACAAGCCCCATTCATCTAACAAGCGCTTTCAAAAGTCCACAACAGCTAAACTAGACTGGTCAAAAAATATACTCCCCTCAGCATTGACAGCATCTGGAACGTAGCTTTGGGCCAAGACCGACTTTTGGACCATCCTGTAGACGTTTTCGAGAGGAAAGAAGACGCCATACTTTAGCATTCGTACCTAGAAAGAAAGATTCTCTTTCTGGGTACACCCCAACCGGGTGAGAGTGCAGTATGTTAGCGCACGTGCTAATGGACCTTTTTGAGCTGGGACCCGCCCCCACTGGGCAAGTCGTACTGTAATGAAGTTTAAAGCAGATGAAAGTCCAAACAGAAAACAAACAAAAGAAACTCCGTGCATCTCTCCACCAAATCAGTCAGGAATGAACCAGACAGAGACGGATTGTGGTGCGCCAAACTCTGGAAGTTTATTTTGGTTTCTCTCAAGTTCCAGTGGTTTCAATTGTTTCTTTCTCTCTCAGACCAAAATGGAGTCCGTACAGTTATATAGTTATTGTCACGTCACACATCAAAAGACATACGTGTCACACAGAGAGACAGTCAGAGCAAATCATAGTCATACCATGAATGCACGTAGGCCACATAGCTATCTAATCCTCACACTGTGCTATGGGACCTTTAACATCCGCATGCTCTGTGTTCAGCTGTCAGGAGGACGCCCCCAGTGGCAGCGGCAGCAATCACACTCAGAGCAGGAGGAGCAGGAGGAGCAGATGGAGGAGGTGATGCAGAGACAGAAGCAGGACATGATCAGAGACGGACAATGGCTGCAGCAGGAGGAGCGCCACCTGGTGAGACCAGAGAGAAACCAGGGAGAGACCAGAGAGAGACTAGAGAGAGACCAGACACCAGAGAGAGACAAAAGAGGGACAGCAACAATAGCAATTTATTCTTGTATAGCCCTAAATCACAACAGCAGTAATCTCAGAGGACGTAACAAAACCATTGAAATCACCAACACAGATCAGAGAATCAACAGTTAAAACACAAAATATACACATATACCAGAGAGAGACCAGAGAAGAGACCAGAGAGAGACCAGAGAGAGACCAGAGAAAGACTAGAGAGAGACCAGAGAGAGACTAGAGAGAGGGACCAGACACCAGAGAGAGACCAGAGAAAGACTAGAGAGAGGGACCAGACACCAGAGAGAGACCAGAGAAAGACTAGAGAGAGGGACCAGATACCAGAGAGAGACCAGAGAGACCAGATACTAGAGAAAGATCAGAGAGACAAGAGAGGGACCAGAGAGAGACCAGATACCAGAGAGACAAGAGAGGGACCAAAAAGAGATCAGAGAGAGACCAGAGAGAGACCAGAGAGAGACCAGAGAGAGACCAGAGAGACCAGATACTAGAGAGAGACAAGAGAGGGACCAGAGTGCGAATAGAGAGCGAACAGAGAGAGACCGGAGAGAGACCAGAAAGAGACCAGAGAGACCAGATACCAGAGAGAGATACCAGAGAGACCAGAGAGAGACACCAGATACCAGAGAGAGACCAGAGAGAGACCAGATACTAGAGAGAGACCAGACATAGGAGAGAGAGTCCAGAGAGAGAAAAGAGTGAGAGCAGAGAGAGATTGATCATAGAGATACTGGAGAAAGTTTAAGAGTCTTATTCTTTCTAAACTTGTTTGTTTACCCGCAGGCTCCTGAAAGTCTATCCGCCCACGGTGAATCATCTCATCTTTATAATTTCCAGTAGAATTTATCCTTGTTATTTATGGTTTCATTAAATATTGTTTTTTCCGCAGGTTCTCCGCCCCAACCTCCAGCTGCTGCACAACAGGTACAAACACGTGAGAAACCAGTAAAACCAAAAGTTGTGTCTGTATTGCTGCTCAGACTGATGCTAATAATGTGTGCGTAGCCGTTAGCAACCGTCGAGCTGGACCGGAGCCAGGACCAGGTCTATAGTGCTGTCATGGAACTGGTCCAAGAGGTGGTCCACCTGAAGGACCGGATCCACACTGCTCCTGCTTCAGAGTACCCCACTGCAGTGAGGGTGAGTGAGACCAGAGAAAGACCAAAGAAAGACTGTAGGGAGAGAGACCAGAGAGAGAGACCAGAGAAAGAGACCAGAGAGAGAGACTAGAGAGAGACTGTAGGGAGAGAGACCAGAGAGAGAGACCAGAGAAAGAGACCAGAGAAAGAGACCAGAGAGAGAGACTAGAGAGAGACTGTAGGGAGAGAGACCAGAGAGAGAGAGACCAGAGAGACTAAAGAGAGAGACCAGAGAGAGAGACTAGAGAGAGAGAACAGAGAGAGAATAGAGAGAGAGACCAGAGAGACTAGAGAGAGAGACCAGCGAGAGAGACCAGAGAGAGAGACCAGAGAGAGGGACGAGGGAGAGGGACCTGTCATTCTCAGACTTGGAGGTGTGTTCAGCTCTATCCACACTACTGTATAGTTTATGTATTATTTTTCTGTAAAATCTGTTTTGTACAGTCATTGTGTGTGTGTGTTGCAGAGTGTGGGGTTAACTCTTCGTGGCCTGATTCACAGTGTGGATGAGCTGCTGCCGTCTCTGCAGAGACACCGCTTGACAGAGGCCAGTGTTGCATGTTCTCCTCATTCCTGTGTTTTCGTCTTTTGTGTCTTTTTCTTACGTTTCCATCTCCATAATCCTCTCCTTCCTGTGGTCAGGTCTTTCTTTGGTCTCTCCATCTTGTCCCTCTCTGATTACTCTAGGCTGTGATGTCAAAGTCAAGGCCCGGGGGGCAGATCCGGCCCACAAATTAATTATCTTGGCCCCAGGATGATATTTGATTCGTATTAGAACCGCACCAAACAGATGAACCATGAGAAAATATTAGATTATTCCTTTAATGTTCAGGACATAAATTTTTTCGTTGAAAGACGTTTGTTTTTATTCTTTGAGCCAGTTGAAAAAAGGTTTCCTTGAAATGACTGACAGAGCCACAAAAAAATATTGGATGAAACGTTTAATTGTTAGATAGAATACGGTCCACTGTGTTAGGTCTTGGTTTAAAAGGTTATATTCATAATTTTAATATGTTTTAATAAACATTGCACCAATCCGGCCCTCTGCAGCAAAAATGAAAAAAAAAAAACAAAAACAAAATTGTTGCTTTGGCCTCTGATGTATTTGACTATGACATCCCTACTCTGATCTATCTCTGGTCTCTCTTGTCTTGCTGGTCTCTCTATCTGGTCTCTATAATGGTCTCCTTCTGGTCTCAGATCGAGGGCATGAAGCGTCTCCTGAACACAGATCTGTCGGAGCTGATCCTGAAGATGCGTTTGGCTCAGATGAACTGTGAGTCCAGTCTGAGGCCTCAGTGTCTGAGGGACATGTTATCTGCAGCTCACAGCCTGGCCCTAGACTCCAAGAGCCTCCTCGACTGTGTGGACCAGGCCAGAACCAGCCCTGAAACAGGCCTGAACCAGGACCAGGTCTGAACCAGGCCTGAACCAGGACCATGTCTGAACCAGGACCAGGTCTGAACCAGAAAGGCTCCGCTTTTTAAAAATGAAGTATTATGTAAGCCGCAACTACAATATAAAAATGAAATGTGATGTTTTTGTTTTCTTTTGGGTCATAAAGTGATAAATGCATTGAAGCAATCGCGGGTCTCTGAAGCAGAGGTGTAAATAGTAAATAAACATATTTTATTAAACATTTTGGACCAGTGTCTCGAGTTTCCCAGACCAAGGTACTTTTATTCTTATACACTACACCACACATGTACGACAGAAGAACGCTAGTAACTTTAGTCTCATAAGTAACACTTGTTTAAAGCTGGGGGACGTAACTTTAGTCTCACAAATAACACTTGTTTAAAGCTGGGGGACGTAACTTTAGTCTCATTAGTAACATTTGTTTGAAGCTGGGGGACGAAACTTTAGTCTCATTAATAACAAGTGTGTCCAACAGAAAGAGTCTTAGTAATGTCTCTGGTCTCTCTCTGACAACTAGTGATAGACGCAAACGTTTTATAGTCAGGAACTACGGATTTCATTACAGACTTCTTTTGTGGTCTGAAAGTTACGTCCCCCAGCTTTAAAGGGCCATATTTCCTGCACCAGAGATGTTGCCGCAGCTTCAAAGGGAGTGCTTTTACTATCAACAGGCAACGGCTCGAGTCACACACAGTTATGGAAAAGCTTTATAAAACGTAGTCATATTTTTTGACAAAAGTGAATAGTCGCAAAATGAAGAGAAATACTTTTTTAAAGAGACGCCTGTTGTGCAAGAGCCTGGAGGCTGCGGAACGCCCACAAACTTCCTCTGTGGTTATATTACAGACCTGAAATGAACTAGGACTGAAGCGGGACTGACGCAGGACTGAAGCAGGACTGAACCAGGACTAAACCAGGACTGGGGCAGGACTGAACCAGGACTGAAGCAGGACTAAAGCAGGACTGAACCAGGACTGAACCAGGACTAAAGCAGGACAGAACCAGGACTAAAGCAGGACTGAACCAGGACTGACGCAGGACTAAAGCAGGACTGAAAGAAGACTGTAACAGGACTCTTTGCAAACAACAAACAGGTGAGTCAGACATATTCTATTTCATAATGTTCTGCACATTAAAGCCAGGGTACTTAACTTTCAGACCACAATATAACTCTGTAATAAACCCATGTCATGTTCCTGGCTCTAAAACAGTTGCTTCTGTCACTAGTTTCATGTGTTTCTGGCCTCTGTCATATCTTTAGATCAGCTGACAGAGAGGACCACCTTCACTCAGTCTATCAGCTCTCAGTCCAAAGTGAGGGTCTGGTCCTGTGTTAGAGTGTGGAGCAGATGTGAAAGACTTTTCCAAATTCCAGACTTTTGGATCTTGCAGCTTCGTAATAAAAATCTCTGCCAAAGATCTTATCAGAAACACACTTCAAATGCAGTAAAAAAGCTCCGTCCAGAGCAACCAGTTCAGAGACAATTACAGAGGAATGTTACGGTCTAGAGCAGGTCTGAACCAGGTCTGAATCAGGTCTAAAGCAGGTCTGAACTAGATCTGAACCAGATCCAAACCAGGTCTGAACCAGGTCTGAACTAGGTCTAAAGCAGGTCTGAACTAGATCTGAACCAGATGCGAACCAGGTCTGAACCAGGTCTGAACCAGGTTTAAAGCAGGTTTAAAGCAGGTTTAAACTTCTGGTCTTCCTTGAGCAGGTGTAAGTCATGAAGATCTGGGTGGACCTGGACACTGGGGTGGATGACGCCCAGGCCCTGATGCTCGCCCTCTCCAGACCTGATGTGGAGATCCTGGGCATCAGCTGTTGTCACGGCAACACGCCACTGGAAAACGTCCTGGAGAACACTCTTAGGGTCCTGAGGGTCTGCGGACGCCTGGACGTGAGTTACTACTGCTGCTGCTGCTATTACTGCTATTAAAACTACTTTTTTATTTTGTATTTTTGCTGCTACTGGACACTGGAATTTCTATCCATCTATCTATCTATCTACTGTTATTGCTATTACTGCAGCTACTGCTTTGTTCACATATCGAGAACATGTTTCTGCTGGTTCAGAAAACAGTGATGACTGAGTGATGGAGGTGACACGAACTGAGCCCTCTCCCGGCACGGTGGCTGAGTGGATAGCACTCTCGCCTCTCAGCAAGAAGGTCCTGGGTTCGAATCCCGGTCGGACCAGGGCCTTTCTGAGTGGAGTTTGCATGTTCTCCCTGTGTCTGCGTAGGTTTCCTCCGGGTACTCCGGTTTCCCCTACCACTAAAAACTATGTCCAATAGTTCTGGCATGTGCCTCCTGTACTGGCGACCCCGCTCCCATCTCTGTGTGGAGTGAGAGACAAATGCAGCCCGCGAAAATTCAATTTGGTAGACGTTAACCAAATTTACCCCCTCCAGGCCGGCTCTCATCCCCAGCTATCGCTCAGCAGACGCCCCCTTCCAATCATCTGTACCGACTCGCAGCCGCATAAAAACGGAGCAACTCCCACTACCGGCCTCCTGAAGCCTCGCAAGCTCCTGCAGCCTCGCAAGCTCCTGAAGCCTCGCAAAGAATCGTTCTGGAGGAATCGCTTTTGTCTACTCACGCTCACTCCCTGCTGTCCTCTGTCTTGCTGCGCGTGGTCTGCTCCTCCTGTGGCTGCACCTGCTGCGGGTCTCGCGCTGTGGTCCGTGGGTCTTTGCCGCTCTCCTCCTTTGCGGGCTCTTTCCGCGGGTTTGCCGCTGCTCGTCTCGTCATGGCCTGCTGCTGCATACGGCCGGTCTAGCCCGGTGCGGTGGGAGCCGTGCGGATCCCTGCCTCCTTGTGCCGATACGGTGTGGTCCCGTCGTGTTGTCCCTTGTCTTCTGGCGCTGTGGGTAAGTATGAGATCCGCGGACGGTTTATTCCCCTCGCTTTGTACTGCAGGCTCAGTTGGCCCCGTGCTGGTGGGCAGGCTTCAGTTTAAAGCCCTCGCATTGGTCTGCAGGCTCTCTTTAACCAAGCTCCGTTAAATCTTCACTCTGTCTGCAAGCTCCGTTTAATCCCTCACATTGGACTGCAAGACCTCAGTTTTAATCCCTCTCATTGGACCGCATGCTCTCAGTTTTAATCCCTCACTTTGGCCTGCAGGCTCTGTTTAAATCCCTCCCTGGACTACGAGCTCTGTTTAAATCCCTCTCTTTGGACTGCAAGCGCTGTTTAAATCTCTCTCGGACTGCGGCTCCCAAAATGAATCCCTTACATTGGTCCGTGAGCTCTCAGGTTAATCCCTCACGGAACTGCTATATCTGGAAATGCCTATAGCTGGAAATGCCTATAGCTGGAAATGCTTATAGCTGGAAATGCTTATAGCTGGAAATGCTTATAGCTGGAAATGCTTATAGCTGGAAATGCTTATATCTGGAACTACTTATATCTGGAACTGTTGTACCGTATCTGGAACTGCTTCATATGGAACTGCTTATATATGGAACCGCTATATTGGAACTGCTCATATGGTACGGTTATACCTGGAACTGTTATGCAGTACATGGAACTGTATATATGGTACTGCCTATATCTGGAACGCTATATTTTATAAATGAATAAATAAATACATATAAATAAATATAAATAAACATAAATAAATAAATATAAATACATAAATAAATGAATGAATGAATAAAAAAAAAAAAATAAAAAAAAAATTAGTTTAAACTCCTCACTTGGACTGCGGGCTCAGTTAATCCCTCACTTGGACCGTAAAACCTGTTAAATCATTTGGACCGTAAAAAACCTGTTGAAATCCCTCACACTGAACAGCTACAACAACATTCTACTGCCGTGGCTTTGATACAGGATCATTGCTGTTATTATCTACGGACGCTGCAGCTGCTGCTGCTGCTACTGCTGCTGCTGCTTAAAAAAACGGAGCAACTCCCACTACCGGCCTCCTGAAGCCTCGCAACCACCGCCTCCCCTCCTCCTCCTCTTCACCCTGCCTCCAATCTGCCTTCAATTTTCTTCCCGTGCCAATTGCCGCCAGTGCCACCAGTGCCTAGGTCCCGGGGGATTGTGCGCGCTCATCGCAGGAGCCTTTCCGATCCGAAGGCCGCACCGGGACCTAGGGCGCCAAACCTCCTTTCATAAAATACTCAACTTCCTGTTTCTCGTCTCTCCAAATTGAAATGCTCAAAATTAACAATTGTAAACCGCTTTGAGACTCAGATCTGCAGTGAAAAGGCGGTATATAAATAAAAACTTACTTACTTACTTACTTACTCCCCCTGCTCCTCCTTTCCTCCCCCTTCTTCTCCTCCTCCACCTCTCAGATCCCTGTATACAAAGGCTGTGGTGTTCCTCTGTTGGCCCGTAAACAACATGCCAGTGACTATCATGGTAAAGATGGTCTGGGGGACGTCCCTGAACCGGACCCTCCCAGTCTGGACCTGCTGCAGAAGAAGCGAGGTGTGCAGGCCATGATCAAAGCAGTGAGAGACCACCCCCAAGAGGTGAGATGTCAGAGACACTACCAGAACACAGACTAATATGAGTAATGGAGTGTGACATTTCAACAGTGTGACATCACAACAATGTGACATCACCACACCAAGGAATTATTTTATAGTAAACAATGCGTGTGTGTGTGTCTCTCTCTCTCTCTCGCTGTGTGTTCCTGTCTCTTTGTGTGTATGCGTCTCTGTTTGTGTGTGTGTATGTGTGTCTCTGTGTGCGTGTCAACTCTCTGCCTGTGTGCATGTGTGTGTGTGTCTCTCTGTCTCTGTGTGTGTTCCAGGTGACGATGGTGGCCACTGCTCCTCTCACTAACCTGGCTGTTGCTGTGCAGCTCAACCCGTCGTTTGGAGAGAAACTCAAGTCTCTGTTTCTGATGGGAGGAAACGTGGACTGTGAGTCTAAAGCAAGTCTAAAGGAGATCTAAAGCAGGTCTAAACCAGGTCTAATCCAAGTCTGAAGCAGGTCTAAACCAGGTCCAATCCAGGTCTAAAGCAGGTCACAGGAAGTCAAAAGCAGGACTAAAGTAGGTATAAAGCAGGTCTAAAGCAGGTATAAAGCAGGTCTAAAGCAGGAATAAAGCAGGTCTAAAGCAGGTCTAAAGCAGGTCTAAAGCAGGTTTAAAGCAGGTCTAAAGCAGGTCTAAAGCAGGTCTAAAGCAGGTCTAAAGCAGGTCTAAAGCAGGTCTAAAGCAGGTCTAAAGCAGGTCTAAAGCAGGTCTAAAGCAGGACTAAAGCAGGTCTAAAGCAGGTCTAAAGCAGGTCTAAAGCAGGTCTAAAGCAGGTCTAAAGCAGGTCTAAAGCAGGTCTAAAGCAGGTCTAAAGCAGGTCTAACAGTGGGTGTGTCTCCATGTGTGTGTTCAGCTCGTGGCAACACAACAGTGTGTGGTGAGTTCAACTTTGTAGCAGACACAGAGGCGGCCTACATTGTGTTGGACAGATTCACATGTCCCACTTACATCGCCTCCTGGGAGTTCAGCTGTGCCTCCAGCCTGCCCTGGGTACAGACGCATACACACTTGTATATTGAAACACGTGTACACACACTACACACACACAACATTGTCACGTGTTTGCTTCACTGCTCCTTTAACCCATCAAAGTGAGTGTGGAGTCAACTACTTTACTCAGACCTGTGACAGACCAAAAAATATACATTTTTAGTCACAGCGGAAACACTGGCTCCCTCTGAAGCATACAACGCGGCTTTTCTGAGGGGGAGGGGAACAAATAATTATATTGTAACAGGATTTTCAAATATTGACAGTAATTTTACATGAACAATGTAATAAAAATAAAATACTGTAAATATACATTGGAGGTAGTGGAGTAATCAATTGGCGTACAAATACACAAATAAACATTTTTTTCACATAAAAATAAATGAATCATACCTGTGACAGACCAAAAATATACGTTTAGTCCATAGACTGTATATATTAACGGACAGAGTCACGCCTATCTCCGCCGTTCTAACTAATGGGCCAAAAAATTTGCTCCAAATTCCAAAATGGCCGCGAGTGGTCCCACCCACAAGAAAATTGGGAAAAAACGCATCTGCGCATGCGTCAGCCGGCGCAGCTCCATTCATTTGAACGAGAGACTTCAAAAATTCACAGCAAGTAAACTAGAGTGGTCCAAAAAAATTAACTTTATATATTATATATTGCGGAAAATAAAGCAGGAATTTCAAAATAAAACGTAAAAATAATAAAATTCACACAAAATTACATTTTAAAATAAAATACAACAAGGAATTGTATACAAAAAATATAAAGTACTTTCTATATGTTACATCAGTCCTCACACCGCAGGTTCAGGACCTTGTGAGGACCCTGAACCTGCATCCTTCTAACCCAGTGCTCTCCGTGTGTCTCTCTCTCTCTGTTTCTTTCTCTTTCTCTGTGTGCGTGTCTCTCTCTGTGTCTTTCTGTGTGTGTGTATTGCAGTCCTTCTGTGATGAGTGGTTGGCCCAGTGCACAGAGAAGGCAGAGTTTATGAAGAAGATCACAGCGGTCTCCAGAAACGTACGTCACTCTACAAACACACTACAAGCTTACAGTGCGGGAGCAGCGTCTGCACTCAGAGCTCCACTTGCTGCTCACAGTGAGGGATCAGTGTCTGCACTCAGAGCTCCACTTGCTGCTCACAGTGAGGGATCAGTGTCTGCACTCAGAGCTTCACTTACAGCTCTCAGCTTCCCCTCTGGTCCTTAGCTGTGGGAGCCTCAGGACCAGATGTAGTGATGTGATTCCCTGTGTGTCCTGCAGAGGGCACAGTCTGCAGATTATCTGAAGGAGAGCACCGCGGGACACGGCTTCAACTCCTGCGACTGCTACGCCATGGCTGCTGCTCTGGACCCCACACTGATGCTGCAGAACATCGAGGTGAGGCCGGGTTAGACCAGGTTAGTCCAGGTTTAGTCCTCTGCTTTAGGCCCTTACTTTATTCCTGCTTCAGTCTTGCTTTAGACCTTCTTCAGTACTGCTTTATGCCGCAGTCAGACCGGATCATGCGTTGCGTCGACCTTCAATGCAAAGTCGATGGTGACGCGTGTTTGAGCATCAAACTGCATGTGCGTCTCGGGATGCACGCACTGGATGCGCTGTAGAGACGCACGGACTGCGCGGGAAAGGCGTGGCAAAGGTGCAGGAGCGGAAAATCTGCGCAAGCAGGAGATAAATATTGCTGAGCGTTTCCTCCGGACGCTCTTGTAGCGACCCATCAGAGAGCCGCAAAGTGGTCACGGGGACATACTGGTAAACAGCCAAAACAGGAGCTACACAGGACTAAACCAGGGTTGACAATGGGGGACATAGTGCATGTGAACATATGCGTTTTCATGCTCCCGTGACTTTATGCAACTGCTTCGAGTGTGTTTGCCGGTGCGGAAGTACCGTTTAATAATATAGGAGGATCTTTGTTTACACCCGCGTGCGCATGCGCCCCTCGCACAGGTGGCAAGAAGGCAGAGTGGCGCATACTGAAGCATGGATGCGACAACTAAAGACTCAGTGGGCGAATAGCACTGTATATAAGCACTTTAACGCAAGAAGATCAGAGGAGATATAAAGACAAGCTAAAAATAAGTATATGAAACCAAACTGAACAAATTCAAAGCCCATATGAGACCTGGGATGACGAGAAAAAACATTGGTCAGACTCACCTCTTTTGGCACAGATCTGTTGGGACTGGGACTCGGGGACATTTATTCTTACTTCATAGAAAACCTGGGACCCTTCACTCAAGAAGGGTCTGAGGTGAAAATCCATTTCTTGAGTTTTTCACCAATGTTTAAAATTAATCATCATTCATGAATGAATGAATGAGTGAACAAGTGCGCAGTGAAAGTAGTTGCAACTTTTATCCCCTCATATTCCCGGCTTCCCGTTCAACGTTTACCGTAGGTAATAGCATAAAAGGGAAACCACTTTACCGCGGCCGTTTTTTGCTGTTCTTTTCCGAAATAATTCGAAAAAAAAAAAACTAATCTGTCCCCAGTACAACCGACCACACAACAAGAACGGACCATTTGATTTAGTAAAACCTCTCTCCAAACATCTAAAAATAGCTAACTCTGTAGCATCCAGGTAGCTTTCAATGCTATAGTGCCACCCGGCCACGTGACCGGAGCGGAAAAACTATACGTCACTCCAAGATCCTCCTATAATAAACGTATGGCGCACCTCCGTGAACACATACTGCTGTTATATAAAGTCTGTGGAAGGTCTCTGAACACAGACACGCTGCAAAGCTGCATTATTGGAGAAGAACTTTACACAAAAAGCCGCTAGCTTAACTCCATTAGCATCAAAGTCCGCCCGATACTTCCGGCGGGCGCCCCTGCAGGCCTGGACTTCTGGTCTGAAGACCTCTGCGTCTGGTTCGCGAGGCGTCAGCTTTCACCGTTGGCGGTGTGAAAGCACCTTTAGACCTGCTTTAGACCTTCTTCAGTCCTGTTTTAGACCTGCTTTAGACCTTCTTCAGTCCTGCTTCAGTCCTGCTTTAGTGCTGTTTTAGACTTGCTTTAGACATGCTCCAGTCCTCTGTAGGAGTCTGCTCTGTGTCCCAGGTGTCTGTCTCCGTGGAGCTAGAGGGCGCTCACACCAGAGGGATGATGGTGGTGGATTACATGCAGCTGTTGAAGAAGAAACACAAAGTCTTCCTTATGAAAAAGTTTGATCTGGAGAAGTTCAAAGTGATGCTCATGGAGTCTCTCAAGTAACAAGCACAGTCAGCTGTCTGTGAGGGGTCTGTGTTCGACGGAAGAACACACACACACACACACACACGTTTCCATATTAAAGTCTTGCATTGCAGTTGTTGCCAATTTGTCTAAGTTTGTTTGTGGCATAATCATATATTCATGCAACTTTTATAAACAAAAATACATGTTTTTTTTACTCATTATATCAAAACTGTAAGAATTTGTTACAAAAATAATGATTCTAATGTGATGGACCATATGTATTGGCGCTTTCTTTCCAGCAGATGGCACTTAATTTTTACAGGCTATGGTTCAAGCATAGACCTGTTAAACTAAACATCAGGAAATGGCTTTGTTGAGGATTTTGTTCGCTTTTTTTGTACAATTGTTGGTTGATAGATGATAAAGTGTGAGCGTTATAGTGTGATAAATGTGAGAAAAGTGTGGTGTATGATACAAATTGAAAAGACGTTGTTTCAAAAATAAAAGCATTAATAAGACAATTGTTTTAAGACTACTTCTAATATAAATATACAAATATTTACATATATCGGATTACTTCAGCTTGTTCCAGAGTAAGTGAGGTTCCGATAGTTATTCCATTTTCTCCACACGGTGATGACGGAAGCAAGTAGCCGAACACACTGGCACATAAAAGCCCTAACCAACACCACCCACTCACTCACGCATTACATTTATACCTATTGTGCATGTTTCTAGTGATAGGGGAAAACGGAGCACCCAGAGGAAGCCTACGCACAGACAGGGAGAACATGCAAACTCGACTCAGAAAGGCCCTGTTCCGACCAGGATTTGAACCCAGGACCTTCTTGCTGAGAAGCCAGAGTTCTAGAGGATAACACTCAGCGACACTCAGCAAAGGTTTTACTTAAATAAATTAACCCTTTCATGCAGTGGGCACTACAGTGGACAGCTATTCAATGGTTGTTTTCTTCCATATGTGTGAGTTTTAAAGTCACAGTTGCACTTTTTTCACTATAGTGGACCCTGGTGTGTCTGGTCATATGCACTGATACATTCTGGTAAACATACAAATGTAAAAAAAAAAACTCTCAAAAGATGGCCGACAAAAGAGAAAATGTGCTTAGTGGAGGAGGACAATCTGTTCATACATTATATTCTAGGAAGGTTTAGCAGGAAAAAAATTATGTGCACGTCAAGTAACATCTAAGGAGTCGTATAATTGTTGAAAACCCTAAGTACTGATTTTGTGTTTTTAGGAAATAGCAATGAATCATGTGTCCACTAAAGGGGACGTTGTGCATCACCAGCTATATTTTGAATACAAAACATAGTGTTGCTGTAACTTTGTTGTTTCTGGAAAAACTTGATTTTCAATACTGTTTTTGCTGCAAATAAATTACATTATTATATTACATCTTGTGAATATTAGGCACATCATGAGAATAATTGTCCTTTTCCATGTGTTTTATAGCGGTCAGTGCCAGAGCAGAATAGAAAAGCCTAGAGGACAGTCCAGGAACTACCATCTGACTCAAGTGAGGGTGATGTTTGTGAGAATGATGAAGAAAGGTATCAGAAAGGTAAGAAAGGTACCAGAGATTAGTAAATGGTAACAGCTGTGACAGTGAAGTTTAAGATGTAGAAGAAGAAGATGCTGAGGAATTTGAGGTGAATGAAGAGGCTCATGACTTGACCAAGCTCAATAACACAAAAATGTAGATCACAGACATGTCTGCAAAGCCAAAGATTATAAGTTTGGGGGAATATTTACTCTTGTATCTCTCTCTCTCTGGTCTCTTAGTTTTTACAGGCGAACTGGGCCAAGTGGCCCTGATCGTCGCCACAGGAGTGTAAAAACGGCCCATGGTTAAATGAACGTGTATTCGCAAACGTGCCAGAGTAACTAAGCTGTTGTACAACGCTCGGTCCAGCTGGTGGCGTTAATACTAACTCCAGCTACTACCTCATTGTCCTGGTTGAGTTTCCGTTTCTTTTCCTGTTTACATTCTGCTACTGTAGCTAACAACTCGAGTATGGGTCGCGTTGTTTAGGGAAAGACACATCTCACACTTGTCCACATTGCTCTGATGCAAAGTGCAGCAGTTCAGTGGGTAACGTGTGTGTGTGTGCACCGCGGACACACACACACACACACTCTTTAGTAACGAGCAAAAGAGCACTGAGAAATAAATGAATGAGAATGAAAGAATGAAAAGTGTGGTGTACCATCAGTGCGACCGCAGACAGGCAGGATACAAGTGTGTGTTTGTGTGTTCTGGTGATTAAATAAAGACTGATTCTTGAATGTCTGAAGTGTTATTGCAAAAGCACCACACTGAGAGCGAGGGTCAGAACAAAGGGAGTTTTTCCCGTAGGAAACGTTTTTCTTAGGCCCTGTAGTGACACACCCCCTGCGCCCCTCGACCACGGTCCGGGTATGAAAGGTTTAACACAAGCAGAGACGAAAGTGCAGGAGAGAAGTGTGTAAAAATGCCCGTCAAAACCAGTGGGGGCGGGTCCCAGCTGAAAAGTGGCCAAAATGACGTGCGCTCAGAGCCGGCGCTTCCTATACGCAGACTACGCAGTATGCGTAGGGCCCCGCAGCTGGAAGGGCCCCGGAGTGCGGGGGCTCTCACTCGTGCTGTTACGAGGCCCTTCATATCCGGAATCACCCATTTGATTGGTTGTTAAAGTTGTCACTTGCTGTCTCCCATGATCCTCATATACTTTACGTCCTTACGTCGCACTTTCAACCCTCCCCTCCCTCCCCCTTGTTGTTGTCAGTCGCACAGCAGAGGCAGAGACGCTGAAGCAGAGTGATGAAAAAAGGAAAAAAGACAGCGAACTGCGGGAACAACAGACGGGTAAAAAAACGTGTGGTTCCCGACCCGACGCATTGACTGTCTGCAAAGAAAGTTGAATATTGTGTCTGACATGTTTTATTTCTGCTTTTAACGAGTCTCAAAACAACTTCATCAGTCAAGCTCTTTGTTGTGGCTAAGGTGGACACCTTCAAAATAAACGTGCTTCCTTTGATAATCGGAAGTATTTTGTTACATTTGTAATTTAGACATAATACTAACAGTGTTTGTATAATGCGCTACTAATATTAATATTAAGGTAATATATTAATACTAGTGGTGATAATAATGAAACTAGTTATTATTTTTATTTTATATAAAATGTGTATATATATATATATATATATATATATATATATATACACTTATATTATAGCTAATATTTGTATTTTGTTTATTTTTGTATTTTAACATGTTTGTACACTTGTCTTTTGTACACAATTTATTCTATCCGTGCCAAATGTGACGGACCCTAACCCTAACCCTAACCCTAACCCAAGTGTTCAAATGTTTTTTTATGTTCGGTTGAATCCATCACTAATCAAGTCTTATATCGCTTGATTACTGTGAATTATTTATTTGTAATATATAGCTTGTTTTTTACATGCTCAAATACTGCTTCATGGTTGAAGAGCACAAGTACCCGAAGGAGACACTTTAAGGTCGGGATATTTTCGACAAATAACCATTCCATCGTCCAAGACATGTTTCTTCGGCAAAGTCGGCAACGGCAATGTGGGTCAGACCGGGATGCACTCTGCCAGCTGGTGGGAGAACTTTGTGTTGGAAGTCTCGTTCCTCCGGAGGAAGGGTAGTTTGTTAGGTTTTGAAATGTAATTGACAACGCATGTATGCGGTATGTGTGGATGCCGTTTTTTAAAAAAACCGAGGCTGTGTGGACAGAATGGTTTTTTTTTAGGCGTGCAGGGCATTTTATAAAGGCCTGACTTCGTGTAGACGTTCGCATTTGAGATTCAGATATAGTGGCCGTGAGCACTTGAGGTTTTAAAAGGCCGGCTTGGAAATTTAGTCCCAGCTAAAATCAGCCCAATTCCACAGTTTAAAATCCAGGAGTTTTTTTGCACTCAGTATAGACTGTGGGGCATTGCTTTAAGCGAAGAGTGCTGTGGAGGCATGTGGCCAGGTGCCGGCTTTCACAGGAAAGATGCACCAGGCTAAACCATGGTAGAAGTAAGGGTCCAGTCCCTCTGCCCCTAGCCCAGCATGTACCGGAGGGCCGATCAGCAAAATGCTGTTGGTCTTTAATTTCGGGCAATGCATCAGGATGAGGTCACGGGGTTGTTGTCAAAGCAGAAAAGGGGATTCTGAGACTCGGAGGAGCACCTGTACTTAAAACACGGGCATGATAAGACTACGCATGATTACATTAGGCAGAAAATGAGAGAAGTCGGTAGGTATATTAACGAAGCAAAAACCGCAGGGAAACTGAAAAACAATTAAGGTTTTCTTTATTCCTTCCAACTTTAACCATGTGATTGATGCAGTCAGGTCTGTGGCTGGATATGATGAGGAAACAAATCAATACAAGACTCCATCCTTGGCCCTCAAACTCGGCCATAGCCTCAGAAAGCTAGCAGATATTCTTGAATGTGACTCAAAAATGGAGCATTGTGTTGATGAACTATTTATTAAAACCTCCAACGAAGCCGGCTCTGCTTTTGGAAGAGGTGGAGACGTCTGTGTTTCTTTGCTGCCTAAGACTATCAATCACTGAGATAAAACACACAGTTTTCTCCTTTTCTTACGTCACTTAGACTTAGAATACTATTATCCCAATAAAATATAAAATACTTGCAAATCCTTCAATATTTACCCTACTTGGTGTTTGTTTGTTTTTATTTTTTATTTTTAGGTCTCAGGTCAGGTGAAAGGAAAGATTAATTAGTTGGTAACAATCTTACCGTTTTACTTTGGCGCCAAATTAATCTTTTCTCTGACCGGTCCTAGTGTCTCCTGTCGAAATCCTGTTCGAGCGACGCCAAGTTCTGCAGTAATTTGTCAGAATTCCCCCGCCCCAGAAGCTGCAGAGAGGCCGCAAACACAGCCCTTCGTTCTGCAGGTCCTTTTAGTTCAACAAGAGACAAAAACCAATGTTAAGACAGTAATAGAAATGACAGATACCAAACCTGATTTCAAAAAGGTTATATTGAA